GTCAACCCACCGATGTCGCGCTCTTAGACCTGATGGACGCTTTTGGGGAAGACGACATCCGGGAAAGACTCGGCGAACGCAAGTTCGAGACACCGTTCAGCTCGGAGAGGAAGTGGATGGGGGTCGTCGTTGGCGGTAATTCTGGCAACCTCACCCCTGGATCTGAACACGCATACATCAAAGGCGCACTGGAACGGGTTCTGGACCGCTGTGATACTTATGTAACGGCACAAGGGAAAGAGGCGGCACTGGATCAAGCACGCAAGCAAGAAGCGATGAAGGCCGCCGATGTAATGGCGCAAGAAGGCTTACGTGTGCTTGGCTTCGCAAGCGGTGCATCCAAAGGGAAAAAGAGGAATGCCAGTGGTACAGCCTCACCTGCACCATCCACCAGCTCGGCACTTGGAGATGATGAACAGTACCGTGGTCTTGCGTTCGCTGGCTTGGTTGGGATGAACGATCCGCCGCGTAAGGGTGTAGAGAGAGCCATTCGGAGACTCATGGCCGGCAAAGTCAAGGTTATCATGATCACAGGAGACGCAGAGACCACAGCAGTCGCCATCGGCAAGAGTCTGGGTATGCCAATCATGCCAAACTCAGCACTTGGACGCTCAGTCATTCGTGGTGATGAACTGGATCATATGAGCGAGGAAGAGCTTGCACAGGCTATTGCGACAACCTCGATCTTTGCGCGAACTAGTCCTGAGCACAAGATGAAGATTGTCCGAGCACTACAATCACGAGGCGATGTTGTGGCAATGACTGGTGACGGTGTCAACGACGCGCCTGCACTCAAGAAAGCAGACATCGGTATCTCCATGGGTCGACTGGGCACGGATGTCGCCAAAGAGGCCGCAGACATGATTTTGACAGATGACAACTTTGCAACCATCCTCAATGCGATCGAAGAGGGCAAGGGCATCTTTTACAACATCCAAAACTTCCTCACCTTCCAACTCAGCACCAGCGCGGCAGCACTGAGCTTGGTACTCCTTAGCACATTCCTCGGCTTCCAGAATCCGCTCAATGCCATGCAGATTCTGTGGATCAGTGAGTTTCTCTACTCCCGTTCTCATTGATATCTACTAACGATCACCTCCAGACATCCTCATGGACGGTCCACCCGCACAGTCCCTCGGTGTAGAACCGGTCGACCCAGCCGTCATGGCGCTACCTCCACGCCCGCGCCACGCCCGCGTCTTAACCCGCCCACTCATCCAACGCGTCCTCCAATCCGCCACCATCATCATGCTCGGAACCCTCACAACCTACTACCTCGAAATGTCCACCGACAACCTCGTCACCGCCCGCGACACAACCATGACCTTTACCTGCTTCGTTCTCTTCGACATGTTCAACGCACTAACCTGCCGCTCCTCCAGCAAATCCGTTCTTGCAGGCGAGATTGGTGTCTTCGACAACAAGATGTTTAATTACGCCGTCGCGGGCAGTTTGCTCGGACAGCTGGCTGTTATTTACTTCCCACCGCTGCAAAGCGTTTTCCAGACCGAGGCCCTGGGTTTGGGCGATCTCGCGCATCTTGTTGCGGTGGCGAGTTGTGTGTTTTGGGCGGATGAGGGGAGGAAGTGGTATGTTAGGTGGAAGGGACGGAGAGGGTATGGTGGGGGGTATAGTACTGTTGTTTGAGTATAGAGCGTCGGGTAGAATATGGTGGTGTAGAAGCGCGATAACGCGCAATGGAAGTTGCTGTTCTCAATGATGTGTTTGGTGCGTATATTCATGCCGTGCGGAATGCAGATATGCGGACTTCAATGTGGTCTGGACAGATTCGCTGAAATGAAGCGCATGCACTCATCTCCATAGTAAGACTTCGTCCCATGTGCGAACGATGCTCTTGCGAGAACTCACACCGGGAGCCCGACCATGCACGTGCTACTGCAGGCCATATAAAAGCCGCATTCCTCTTCCCTTTCTCCACTCTTCACTAACTCTACTTCCTTGACGTTTTCTACAAAAATCGTCTGTCCACGAACATGTGTTTTCCTGGGAACCAAAACTCAAAGCATCCAATATATGTCCACTTGTGCAAAGTCAATAAAACGAGGTACGAGATCGCCATGTATCGCCGATGTGAAAGCCAAAAAGGAGTGACAAAACCGGCATGACCTGTCTCGCGCTCTTGGGCTCGTGAACAGTAGATATAAATTCTGTCGAGTGGTCGATACTTTCGTTTTCTGTACACCACCATAACTGGTGAGGCACCAAAACCAGCGATTCAAGCACTGATGGTGTTGGCTTTCTGGCCACCAAAATACCTCGATGGCTACCTTATGATTGCGCTGGAGACTGTGGACGATATCAAAACATGTCCAGGAACAGGTTGATGAGAGACACTTATCGACTGAGCTAAACAAAATGGACATGAAGCTCTCCATGTGCGTTGCGAGACTAGACCGAAACAACACAAACCATACGAATGTCTTGAGGTGGATCTTGAACAGTACAAAATCTGGCTCTCTTGCCGACTTTTACCTATTCCTTACATCATTCTTATGATGCAAGCTATCGAAAACCGAGAGCGGATCTTCTATGAGCTTGCTCTGCGTGAAACAAAATTACTGTCGATAGAAATGCCGGTTCGAAGGCTTCTCCAGAGCTGGTCACTTTGTGCTCAGTTGCCGTAAGGACTCTGAATTTGTCGAAAAGACGGCGCATGTTTCCTGAAGAGCGGGAATGTCAAGAGTGTGTCGAAAGATATCCATCAGTGAGTTATGTCTCTTGATTTGAGGTTCTGGCAGTATAAATAAAGACGTCTCGGTCGTTTTTAATCCCCTCATCTACAGTTGCGCAACTGTGCAGTATCCAAAACAATAATAATTAAAATACAGATAGCAACCACTTCATGTTATTCCCTTCCCTTCTCTAAAAGTTACTGTGGAGAAGCACATGTTAGTGTGGTGCAGTCCAGAGGTCTCTCTACCTTTGGCTACACATCCACGCTACCCGATCAAAATCTAGCCAGGGTCTATCCATGTGTATCATATAGTACACGGGAATGTCATGACAACATTGCGCACCATGCCATGAGCTAAGACCAGAAGGCTATAAGTAGGAAATTGCTACCACCTCATACCAGGGAAAAACTGAACAGGTCTGCAGACTACATTGACCCAAAACCTTGCAAAGAAGGTGACCCAAAGTCAACGTAGGCTCCAGGCTGTTCAGCTTTTCCCTAGGTTGGCGTGCTACCACACTTTCCACCTTCCTTACTCCCTGACTATCGGCTTCGCCAATCTCCAAAACTCATTCGTTTGTCCCTATGTTTGTCCGCCTCTGGATTCAGAGTGTTGTTCCAAAAAAAGCATATTTGTGACGACAGTATCAAAAACGGAACGAACTCAAGACATGAGCAGTCGGCGTTGGCCCAGACGTTTCGTATTATCGACAAGTTCAGAAGGTTGTATCATGCTCTGTGGTCTTCATAACTTTCAGGCAGAACCCGCTCATAGCTGCTTTATACACGCATTCTACTCTATAAAATACATACGAAAAGTGCTGAAATATCTAATTCAAAGAGACAAAACTCAGCGTCATGAAGAAAGGCCCCCTATGCACTTCTCAAAGATGCTCCTTCCACCGAAAGTCACGTCCTTTGGATACTACTCCAAAATCAAATCGAGATCAACAAATGTTCTTGCTACGTTCCAAGACTGCTGCATCTCTTCAAAATCTCAAAGAGGGCTGGGTAACGCATGCGACTAGCGTCTCCGGACATCTACACAAACTCTCGTCCCTCTCTTCTCACCATCTTCCAATACCATACATCTCTCTCCTTATTCACAAAAGCAGTTTGTACACAGCCCTATGTGGAGAAGGGAGAGAGGTGTGTCTACCAAAACAAAAAACACTTTCGAGATCTGTAACATGTGGCTTGCTCTCTTTGTGCGTCTCAAAACTTCGACGGACGGATTCTATGCTGTTCTGCCGTCCAAATTCCGTATAAGACTACACCATGTGCTCTCACCATATACATGTCCTACATATCTATCTCCAAAAGCCGATCTGGCAATGAACATGTTTGCGACTAGCGTCATTAGGTATTTATATAAAGATCCGTTGCGTCCTTACACCTCTTCAACCCAACTTACATTTACAAATCAATACCAAAACTTAAGGCTGTACAACTGATGTGGAGAAGGGAGAGAGACGTGCGTACGAAAAACATAGCAGCACGACTTATGTCGTTCGTTCTCTCCGTGCGTCTCAAAACCAGCCTACGTATTCCTCATGTTGTCCTGTCGTCCAAAATACAACAAAAGACCATGCCATGTGCTCTCCACACCCAGCACGCCCGTAGTGTATTTGTAAAAGCGCAGGCAGCAAGAAACATGTCTGCGACTAGCGTGCCTGGATTTCTATATAAATCCTTCGTTGCGATCTCAATCAATCCTCAGAACAGTACTCACTTCAAGTACCAAAAACGAACTTCTCGCATCGATGTGATGGAGGAGAGGAGGAATCTAGGCTGACCAAAAGAGTCCTTCTACAATTACATGTGTTGTTTCCAGCACTCGGTTCCCACGACTTCGTAGTCTGTGCCTTCCTGTCGCTTCGAAAAAAACTTTGAGTACCAGAAGCGATGTGAACTCGCGTTATGTACGGAGATGAACGTTGAGTCGTCGCTTTCGTGCAAGAGATGTCAGAACAGAGGATGCATGGGAAACAAGGGTGATGATGACGATAATCATCATCATCGTGACATGGGAATGTACGTGAACCTTTGATTTTTGCCGGTCGACTTGACCAATGACGATGTGCCAGCTGCTTCCCTCGAAAGCACTTGGGGTACTTGAACACTACCGCCTTATTACCAGGAGGGCAAGAGCCACATCTAGAAGAGGCGGCGTCTCCCAGCGTATGCTCGCGCTCTGTAGTGCCTTCCAACGCCCTGGCTGTTCGCTTCTTCCGGTGTAATAGGGCATCGCGTATCGCAAGCCATGTCGCTGCCGTATCTTCCTCTTCTGATCCGAGAAGCCCCCTCATATCAACTCAACATCTCCCGTACCGCACCCCACACACCAAGCCCTCACCGCACTCCATCTCACAACCCAGACATCCCCCCTCTTCATCTCAAACCGCCGATCTGTTCCTTCCACGAATATCTCTCCCACATCGCGCAAAGCCCTGACGAAGACCGCTTTGTCCTCGTCGGGCTTATCAATCATGCTTATGCCACCCGTGGTATCATCGAGCCGTTGTAACGACGCCGGGAACTGCGAGAGGAACGAGGACGTGTAGTGTGAGGAGAGGAGCGCTTGATGCGACGTCAGGTATTGGTGTTCGGATGGCGAGAGAAGGGGGGAGGTCGTTGCGAGAGAGGCCGTATGTAGCGATTGGATGTGTAGAGGGTGTGCGTCGATCTACAAACGTGGTGTCAGTATTGCTGTACATATTGGCAACAAGACAGGACAGGACCATACCTTTTTTATCCTCGCCCTCAGAAAACTGCGAACCAAGAACTTGAACCGCTCAAGCTCCGTCTGTATAATGATGAGCTTGAAATTCGTCTTCGGGTTCATGTCGCCCGTCTGGTCTTCGACAAGTTCAATCTGGCTGCGTCATTAGCTACCTTGTGTTGCGTAAGCTGCAGTCTTCCGCGCGCTCACCTGTCTCCTAATCCGCTCCAACACCCTCTCCATGAGCTCCTCAGGCCACGGTAATATCTCGGGCGCAACCCTCTCCGCGACCCAACACCGTGTCAATTCCTGCAGATCGCGTGTCTCTCTTGGCGTGGAGTCGACGGAGACCTCCGCGAGAAGGTCGTCGATATCCATTGTACCGTTCCACACAAATGTGCCCTTTGCTTTTCTCGAAAGCCAACGGTCGTATCGGTCGGGCACTTAAGTCGCGTGTCTGCCGTGTCTCACGCGCGCGTGTATCGTGGCGGCACCGAGATCGAGGTAAGGCGGGGTGATGGGATCGAAGGTAAGCAATCGGCAGGCACCCGACGAGCAGCAGGATGCAAGACAGAGATCTGAAGTATGTCTCGGGCCGGATGCATGCGTGTGTTGGCTTGCAGCGAGCGTGCATGCAGATTGCAGATGTTTGGTGGGGCAGGGATGCGCGATGCGGGGGTCGCTTACAACTAGCGCCGACGCGTCCCAGTTTGGTTCCGACGCGTCTTGACACCTCAGGAAAAGCAGGCTACACATGTATGACGCCTTGGTAGGGGCTAAGGGTGCAGCTATCAACGGCCGTCGCTACCGCTGTATTTCAATATGAACCATTGCTAGTGCCTGGCTCAACATATAAACCGTGCATGCATTAGTTTGATGATACATCGTGGTTTCTTCATCAGGATAATGGTACAGGTGGAGCAATCTGATGAGATTTCGTTGTTGTTTCTAGCTTGGTCGACTGCAGGACTTCCTCAAGCCATCCTTCGTCCATCCGCATTACAGATATGTACAGCCCATTACCTCCTCATGTTCCTCTCTGTAGATGTACACGAACCAGGGGATAGAAGTAGGTAAAGGCAAATAGATACATGAAAGAGTCGCGCGAAGGGTGATACAAGAGAAGCCAAGAAGTTCAGTCTGTGTAATGTAGAGAATGATACCAAATGAATTGTATTAAGGAAAGGGCAGTAGATGCCGTGTAGGTGATTAATGCTCTGGAGGCACGTAGACCTGTTTGTGTACTTGGTTTCGTGATGATTCTTAGATACTTGTTCTGAAGAACATGTGCAGGCAATGTTTCAGCGCTGCAAGGCCAGGAGAGATCCGTCTGAGGATGGGTAATAGTAACAAAGGAAATGAAGAAGCTCGCGAGGCAGCCTTCTTTGGACTGCTCAACGCTCGCCGTAGACAAGATGGGTATCCAGCGTTCCCTATCAAGAAATGTGAACTTTTGTCCGGGCCCACAGCTCCGCGACAAGGGGTATAGAAAAGAAACGGGGAGACACCCCAAAGATCAGATGCAGACTGTTGCCGCTGTGCAAAGATTCCGAGAGTGATGCAAGCCAAATGAAATCGCTCGAACGCCCCGGAATGGAAAAGGACCAAACGCCAATGCTGTGGGGATCCAATGCCATGCAGCAATCATCCATAACGCCGTGAATCAATCCGCCATGAGTTAGTTTAGTTTCGTTATAGTGTTGGTTGTTCGTTGTGCAGGCTTAATAAGAAGCCATGCGACGGGAAGCGGCCGTGACACGCCCGACTTCCAGGGAGTCATTGCCAAGGGCAAAGATATTGTTTCCAGATCTTGACCGGCCCATGGCTGTAGGGCTGTCTTCCATCTGGCAGTGCTGTCCGAAGGTGAAGGTGGTAGCACGGTTGAGCTTGGCACGCGACTTGAACTTGAGCTTGTTGAGGCCACGTTCACATGACTGTTCATGCTCTTTGGCATCCATGCGAAGGTAGTTTTGGGGGTAGCAGCGAGTGGCGTGTGAATGGTAGAAGGAGCTGTATCCGCCGTCGAGGATGTACACTTCAGGGAATGACAGATGAGGGTATTGATGCGCGTTCTCCTTGCGATCTTGCGAGCGAACAAACTTGGCCCTGGTGTTGTTAGTGAATGGACCAAAGCCGAAAAATGGGATGAACTTACATTAGAGGAGCACGATGCGCAGAGTACTCGCAGTGAAGGACCAACAAAGTGTTCTCGCTAGACGGGGCCTGGAAGAGACGCTCGGCAAGCTTCTCCTTGTCACAGAAGTTCAATGCACCTTCAATGTGTCCACCATTGTATTCGTACTCGAAGCGACAGTCAATGACGACCTTGTTGTCATACAAGTGATCATAAGCACCATCCAGCACTTCTACCAATGTCTCGTGGGTGATGCGAGGGAGACTCTCTGGCTCAGTAGTGGTGAAGTGGGGAAGCTTGAGAGTGTTGGCATCATCGACATCCATCACAGACTGGAGCCCACTGGGCTGGTAATCATCCTGTTCTTGCTTGGCATTCATTACTTCACCGGGGCTTTCGAACATGCTTAACGATCTGCGGAACTTGCTGGGACGACGAGAAGGAGGACCGGCGGGTTTTCTGACGGCGGCAAGGGGGGAACCATTGGCACGGGCGGCAGTAGAGTTGAGAGAGAAAGGCTTGGGTTTTGAAGCGAAGAGAGAGCCGTTGGAAGTAGGACGACGTTCTTGGGGAGGCGAAGCAGTGAAGCACTCGTCCAAGCTGAGTGAAGACGAATTCCGGGTGAAGTCACCGCAGCCAAACTGGAAGGCGGGCAGCGGAGTGCTCGATGGCTTGTCTTGGTCCTTGAACGACACAGTGTTAGTGGAGTAGTTCTTGTGGCGCGCAAGAGAGGGCCTGAGAAGATTGGACTTTCGGCGGTCGGCGGCTGACACGGGTCGGGGAACCTCGAGCGAGGGCGTAGAGTATGTGGGTGGGGTGGGCAGCTCGTCACACGGGGTGAGCATGTCGCTGTCGGAGCCGGGGGTCACCTCTGGGGAGGGAGAGGGTAGGGGCAGGCAGCGGTCGTTGATGAAGCTGAAGGGCGCCTTGTGAGGAAGAGGCGAGATGTCCATGGAGTCTGGTGCAAAGCCGGGCGAGGACGAGGGAATTGGCGGAGTCGTAACGCCTTCCCATCGAGCCAATGGGGTCGTGGTTTCTGTTTGTGCCTGTTAGCCCTTGTGCTTCCAGTTTGGAGTGCGAAGCCACTTACCCCGGGTGTCGATCTGGTGAAAGAGATTCGACGTGAAGAGCGACCGACGCGGCGTGGCGAGCTGGGGGCTGAAACAAGCGCGTTAGTGTGCTGCCAATATCAAAGAGACAAAGGAGGGATTGTACCTCTGGTCCATGTGCAGGTTGCTCGACATGTCGGCGGCCAGGCTGGTGGTGGGTGACGAGCCTCGCATGGGCTGCAGGGTGAAGTAGTCTCCCCCACTCTTCTTCATGCTGAGGTCGCGGAAGTTGAAGCTCTTGGGGCCCAGGCTGTGTGCTCCTCCAAACAGCGGCTTCGACTGCGGCAGGTCACGGCGGTATCCCCAGGGGCCGGGGATGGGCGGCGGGTGCATGGCGGCGAGCGGCGAAGACATCTCCATGGTGGATTGGTTTCGTGTTGGTCGTGGCTATCGTCGTACCGGGCAACGGGCGGAGCGAGCGTTTGCACGTCGGGTCTGAAGTGATGTCGGACGGGAGGATGCAATACTGGCGATAAGCATACAAGACAGGAAAGCTAATTCCAATCTCTGAAGATGCTGGTGGTGATGGTGTCGATGTCGGTAGAGATGCTACAGGCGGGCTCCGGACATGGGCGAGGCTGAGGCTGGGAGGCTCCGGGAGAGGGTCGGCAGGTGGATGGTGAACGAGGTAGCTCTTGCCGTAGTGATACTGGCGATAACCGTCGTCCAAGATCCGCTCAGCCAACTTAAGAGGGGATTGGGCCTTCTTGGGGACGAGAAGGGTAGAGAAGAGAGAAGCGGAGCCCGGTCACGCACTGGATTTGAGCATGCCGTGGTTGCTGGGGTAGCCCGCTGCTGGGCCAGGTTAGGGCCGACGACCAGGGCGTGGGCTTGAGAGCTAGGCGCTTGCACACACCGGAGGCCTCACTGCTCAGCACGGGACAAAGAATACTGGGGACTGGAGTTTGCTTGCCCGGCTATGCACCCACGCCCAAGCGGTGCTGTTGATCCGCAGCCTCTAATTCCGCCGCAGGTACACCGGCCCATGATTTGATCGCGATCCCACGCGTAGGCTGTCGCGTAGTCGCCGTGCAGCTGCAGCTAAGTCACGCTGCACGCCCGTAAACAACCGTTCGCAGCTGTTCCACCTCGCGCAGTACCCATTGAATAGCATCACGGCACGGCATCACGGCCACACTGCTCCAACGCGCGCTGCTTCAGTCCGGCCTCGATCTCAGATAAAGCTCGACAAAGCAGCCAAAGCGCACTCCTGCCATGGTTGCCAGAGAAGCAATTGCCTAGCTCGGCACGGGTCAGACGCAAGCGGAATGGATGCTCCCTGTAAGCCCAGCACGATACGTGAAACCATACGTTCGCTCTCCGCCTAAACTCGCGCCGCCGAGAGAATTTCTCCCTTCGGAGTGGTTCTGCGTGGGCTGCGTGGAGCGTCTAGCCGTCCTGCGTAACGTACCAACCGTCTCCCAGGGAAACCAGCTGCACTCGCTACCGAACGGCGACCCCTCTCTGCCCACCGTGTACACTATCGTGACTATCCAGATTCTATGCACGCTACGGCAGAGCGCTGGCTAGATTCGGCATCATCTACCCCATCTCCAGCCTCGTTCACGAAGCGCGAGCTGTTTTGATCAGGCAAGCTCGGTCTGCATCTGCGCATGCTTTCGTCATCGTACGGCCCAGCGACGAGCCTTGGCGTCGCTGCCAGGGAACCGCCTCGCTGTAACATGGCTTGCACGCGTCGCCATTGGCTGCCTCCTCTGTCGGCGACTCATTGGGCGGGCGGGAGATTTTCAGACTGTATTCGGTGCAGCGAGACCGACGTCGCAGGCGCCGCTGGCTTGACGACGTGAGCTCACCCCGGCCCGTTCGCCCTCTGATCCCCTTAGCCCTAAGCGGCTGCATAAAACAGGAATGGCTCCATCCAACGCGCTACCGCTCTAGTCCCGTGCTCGCGATCGAGCTCTTCCCTCTGGGATCGCGATGGCGACATGTTGCAAACGTCATAGGCAATAAGGCTGAGATGAACTGCCAACTTTGCTATTCTCGGCCGCCTGTTTGCGCCTACTGCTGCAAACCAGTTCAGACAACTGTCGACCTGTCGACCACCGACCCTCGCTAGGAGCCGCAACAACATGACAACAACAACAGACGTCAGCGCAGACCCGACATGGCTTTCGGAGAGGCCGGGGGCCGCTGTCATAGTTGCTGTGGTGCCATTTAGAGGCGAGCTGAGTCGCTGTTCGAGAACGGCGGCTCTGCCCACCATACCTCTGCACAAAACCTTCATAACGGCACACGATCGGCTGGACCCCACCACCAACGGGCTGACCCCTCCTTTTGTGGACCGCCAGACACACGACAAGCCTTCGCACGGCCAGCCTGTGGCGCTTGTTGCAAGCGCCTCGAAAAACCATCGTCTCGTCGCCAGGTGCGACGCGTCGAGCTTCGTATACACAAACAACCGACTTCGCGCCATCACCTGACCTAAATAGGTGAAGGCGAGTCTCACCACAGGGTCTGCGTCATATACCCCAGACCTCGGGACCCGCTTCACGACGCCGCCAGAGCAGGCCTCGCGTTTCGAGACCCTGAAAATCTGCACTCTCGTCACTGGTGGCAGCTTAGCCGTAACTCTTTGTCATGGTGTCTCGTCGTCCATATCGTGTCAGCACCTGGCCGGACGCATCCGACATGATGTGCAGTAAGAGCTTCATCATGGTGGACACTCTGTGTGAAGAAAAACTCTGCCCATGATTCTCAAGACACATCGCGGGACATGTTTCGGGCCCGAGGGTCACTCACCATGAAAACCCAGACAGCTCCTGGAGCTCCTTGAAGCGTTCACCAGTATCAGCCATCTCGGAAATTCAATCCCTTGCGTCGCGTGCATCCCGTTCTCGGCCAGCACGTTGCACATCAGACCCTCTTTCGTGTGACAAAGGATTCACTTATAGTTACTATAGTAATGTACCTCGAGGGTTCGGCGTCCAACAAGAAGCACGGGTTTCACATCGATGCATGCGGCGCCTTCGCTTGCGGCCTGGCGTTTTCGGAAGGTGCGATTCCTGAGACAACGCGGGACGCTGTGACATGCGCTTTCCCTTTCAGCCTGTGACTGCGGGGACATCCGGTGAGCATCCGCATCGTCAGATTCAGATTACCACCACAAAGAAGGGTGTATTTAAATCTGCAACGCGGTTTCGTCTTCCCGCGGGGTACATCCTCATGATTTTCCAAACATACCCTCGCGCATATCGTCCGTTGCCAATCTTTGCGATTCATCCCTCCGCATCACGGTGTGGTTTTGCCCGGCGCCTTTCGCATTTGCAACACTGTTGCCATGGCGATGCATGGGGTCAGACGCGCCTCATGTGTACCCAGCCGGTCCCTCTTTGCACAACTCTATTCGTATCATCCGAATACCCTCAAGAGTCAGTAAATTATGAGCATCCGAGCAAACTTTTCAAAATGTGCAAAAGGGGGTGGAGTTTGTGGCAGAGGCACCGACCATGCAATCTGCGATATCGATAGGAAAACCTCACCGCCTGCTCCTTTTCTTAGTGAACACGGTAGACAGTAACCTCACAGAGCAAGATTGGGATATTTAATGACTGGTAAGCCCGCTTCATTCTGACTTCAAAGAACTGGCGCTGCACGTTCTTCGTTCTTGCGGACCCAGATCATGTGATCTGTGTTGAGAGATTGCATCGTGACATCGTCGACAGACTGAAGAGGCTCGGGAGCGGGAATAACCTTGGACCGATCTTTGAGAACACGTTCCTCGCACCCTGGGAGGTCGAAACTTTGCTTAGGTGGTGTTCCAGTGGAGAGATTGCCTACGATGTCATCTTGAGGAAGTACGGGTGTGCTCATCAGGGTCTTTGAGATCACGTCAATTCCATCCCAGGATGCCGAAAGCTTGCTAAATCGAGAGATTGCATCGTCTGTCATTTCGAGGAACTACAGAAGTGGTCATCAGGGTCTTTGAGATCACGCCTCTCCCGCCCTGCGATGCTCAAAGTTTATTTAGATGGTGTTCTAGTCGAGAGATTGCATCGTGAGTCAAATTGAAGAAGCTCGGGAGCGGCTGTCAGGGTCCAGGAGATCACGTCACTCCCATTCTGGAATGCCGAAAGTTTGCTTAGGTGGTCTAGTTGAGAGATTGCATCGTATGGCAATTTGAAGAAGCTCGGAAGCGCATGTAAGGGTCCATGAGATCACGTCACTCCCACCCTTGGAAGCCGAAAGTTTACCTGAATGATGTTCTAGATGCCGCGAGAGAAGGGATCAGAGCCTTGATGCGACCCGTGGAGTCAAGTTGACTTGTCACCCCCACGAACGAAGCAATCAGACACCCAGCAAGACAGCGGTACAAATTAAACCATATTGCGCACGATGGTTACAATCTCCCGAGCATATATTTGGGGAAGAAGAACCTCTCGAATTAAACATCTACGGTTACATCGCGCTTCGACACACGTCTAATCCTCCCCGTTATCATGGTTGCTTAAAATATGTCTCATACCCAGGCCATCCCTTGCCCTGTCTTCCTGCTCGACCACACTCAACGGCAATCCCTTACCAATACCGCACAACACAAAAGCCGCCCACTTCCACCTGAACGGGTTGATCGCGATCGTGAACATGAACCAGTAGATGAGCTCCGAGTACGTGAAGAAGTCGAAAGCGCCACCAGGAGCCTTGGTCTTGATGAACCGCGTCATGTCGATCCAGCGCTTCATCCACCAAGTACGCGGTCGAGCGAGAGGGTCGACGAGGTACATGAGTAGGAAGCGCGTGTAGATGCCGATGTGGTAGTTGCCGACCGTGCCGATGGCGTTGACGTAGGTGCAGTTGTTTGCGCAAATAGAAGGGTGTTCTGGTGGGAAGACTTGAAGATACCAGTTCGGCGGTTCGTATGGTTCTTGAAAGACCTCATCTGGTAGAAAGCCTAGGCTTGGACGCTTGTAACCGGTGGCCATGATGACGATGTCGGCTTCGACCAGTTTCTCGGAACCAGGTCCGTTCTTGGGGACACCTCGTGCGCGCTTGTTAAATTTGATGCCGGTGCCAGACTCGTCGTAGCCCAGGATATCGCCGCGGAGCCATGATGCTTCACCTGAGCGGATGAGGTCGAGGACTGAGTCGTTTACCATCGGTGTTTCGGTGAAGAGACCCTTTCCGCTGTTGGGTGCTGGTGAAATGTCGTAGAGATCGCGGTAAAAGAAGAGACGGAGGATATACTCCGGAATCCAACTGAAGATGGTCTCCATCCCGAATATGTTGAAAGCGAGAAGACTGTCGATGAATGGGTTTCTCGGAATAATCCATTTCTCGGATCGAGCCAGTACGTTGGCGTGTTCTGCTTCTGCGCTGGCGACAAATTCAAGGGCTTCGACGGC